TATTATATGTAGTTGTAGTGTTCTATTTTGTGAAACAATAGAACTGAAATATTGAACTTCATTTGCTTCCTCTTGTAAGTGTCAACTATTCTCAAGTTAACAACCATCTGTGTTATATTGCTTACTGAATGACATAGTTGGTTGCATTGGAGTGCATTGCAGCTTGGTTGGTTAATGAATAGAATGTCCATACAAAACTCTCTCTGATAACTGCAGGTTGAGCACAATGATAGCTACATACTACTTTGTTAAAATCACATACCGTATTACGAGTGTACACAGACAATACTACAATATGATTTGCTCAGACATAAGTTCTAAATATTGTTAGGATCCTGAGGCAAGTTATGACTACAATAACATTGATCCCGACCCCTCACCAAGACCGACTTTTAATGATGAAAACAGGTTGGTAATACAACACCTTGAACCTTCGCACTATTTGTTCTCAATCCACACATTGCATATTTTCATAATGGTCTAACCACTATTTTTGTCTCTCTTGTTAGACATGGGACGAGATGTGCGGGTGAGGTTGCGGCAGCCGCTGGCAATAATCATTGTGGTATTGGTGTTGCGTATGGTGCAAAAATAGGAGGTACTGTACTCCAACACTTCAACATTTTCAAATACTGTATATTACCAAATTTGAAAATATATTACTGTATATTACCAAATTTGTGTCAAAACATTCAGGAATGCAACCACATTCCTGTGCTTTTTTCTGCTGAAATGCCGTACTAGTATTCGCCATCTCAGGAATCAGACAGTATAATTTCCCACAGACCAACCAGATGTCGCTATCCAGTTGACATTGTTAAAAAAGTATTAGATTTGATGTACACGGCTGTGTGCCTATTTTTTAACGATTTTTGAACTTACTTTATATTTGTAATGTATGCAGTAGTGTACCTATTTTTTCCTTGTAGTGTGGATATGTCACTATTAGGTCAACATCAGGTTAACAATAGTCACGTCTGTTTATCTCTTGCATTGAATACGAAACTTCTAGTCTATTACTTTGCACTTTCATTTCCCTTTTGCACGTACAGTGTGTTCATAACTATGTATTTAAACTAATAACTATATGAATTATCTATATTCTAAGATTAAATATACTGTACTCTGGTCTATACACTATATATGATAATTGAAAGTCTCCGACATTTTAATATGTAACCGCATTGTCAGGGCGTAGTCGAAACTATAGGATCAAATCGCGAGGAATTTGCATATTTCCCGCAAGGAAACTTCGTCACATAACCGCATAGACTTCGTAATATAACCACAATAAGTTCCTATTATTTTACTATAAATATAGCCTGTGTATGTTAGTTAGACACATTAGAACTTCAGTCTACTGGAGAGTTAACATCGATTGTGATACAGGTGAAGTGTAACGTATCTAATGTCATTCGGTAAAGTCCGTTCTGCGCATCAAAACATTCCATCAGTGGGGGAGCAACCTTTGGAATGTTGTTAATATTTCGCACCTTCCGAACTTTCTTGAATTGAATCTCTAGTCTGTATTCATTTACAAGCATAACGAACCAGAAAAGTGTTAAAAATTCAGTATAATATACTGTATATCTAATCATATTTTACAACTGTAGCAGTGAGTTCAAAATGTAAACAAAGCGTTTGTTTACATTACGGACTTTACATCACCTTTAAAGTTTTTAAAATTTAAACGTGATTTGTGAATTTGTGAGTTGTTGGGCAAAATAAGGGAGGCAATCCCCAACAATAATGGGGCAGATTGGTGAAAATTATAGAACAATTGTGCATTTGATGATAACAGCACATAAGTTGGCATAATGTCAGGGTATACCCTAAGGCCAGTTGTCGAGCTCTAACCACAAGTTCATGTATAATATATATAGGGTACTACCACGTTTTTAGGAATATGAATAAATATCAAGAGGGTGTGTATTAGTTTGTTAGAGCGCTGTATCGAAATCACAGGGCCACAAGTTCAATTCCTGCCACGGACCTAAAGTTGCATTTTTCGCAGGTGTTCCTGGTTATATCTAGTAAATGTACAGTATATAAATTTCCACGCGATAATTTCCATCCACAACACCCTTCAACTATACCCTAAGGTAAGGGCATTTTTGGCTATAGTAGTATAAGGGCATTTTTGGCTATAGTAGAATAAGGGCATTTTTGGCTATAGTAGTATAGGGGCATTACAGTTTAGCTCCTGCTTGCCACAAAATTTTGTTTTTCTGCCATTCACCTATTAAAGTATGGTACTATCTAATATAAAAAAGTGAAATTTCAAAGTTCACCTTTAGCAAATATCACCTATATCGTTAGAAAGCTCGCAAAAAAATTAAATATAGATTACAGGGCATCAAAACGGCTGCTACAATTTTCGACACTTATTTTAAGTTACATAAGGTTAAACCTGCCAAAAAAACAGTATTGTGGCCTTTTTTGTACCATTTTGCGGTCTTTGACCGTTAATGCCTCCAAGTGTAAGGTATTAACGGTCACTCGGAAGAAATCGCCTGTACTAACGGACTACCACCTGGACAACGCCATTTTACAACGCGTTCAACAGGAAAACGACCTAGGAGTTATCCTAGGAGGTTTGGTCACCTTCAAACGCAAAGGTGCAGATTCTCTTAGAACGAGTACAGAGACTGGCAACTCGATGGATTCTAAGAACTAAAGTTGGTGAGCTGTCATATGAAGACAGGTTGAAATCTCTAAACCTATTGCCACTAACTTAAGATCGAGAAATCAGAGATCTTGTGTTGGTTTGTAAATGTATTTTTGGTCATACCGATTTAAACATTAATCAACTTTTAACCTTCGTAGAGCACAATCGATCTCGCGCACAGAATCCAACCCTAATGCTAAAACATTCCTGTTGTAAAACATCCACCTTTCAGGCATCGTTTTTTAATAGAATAGTAAAGCCTTGGAACTATATATGTAAAATAGCCTCTCCAGAAAAGTTTGCCAGTCTAAATATTTTTAAAAGCTTTTTGCACAAGACATACACCGCCTTGGTGAACAGTATTTTAATGTAGATATGACATGTACTTGGTCGCTCATAAGAGACTGCCCTTGTCACCGTACTTAAGTCCTAAGTTATATATGTATATTCTGTATAGTCAATAAGTTTGTTTTCACTAGTTTAGTTTAGGGGTGGCGCCCTGCATGGGTCTCCTTGTCCCATTTGCGCTAGCCCCATTTGGACGTATACCCTGTAATTTTCTTTGTATAATAATATGTAACCTTTTATATGTATGTCCAATAAAGCTGCTAAAAAAATAAAAAATAGGCTTGGAAAACCGTACTACCCAACCAGGAACTAATCTGTAATTCCCCTATAGCCAAAAAAATTCCTTAGCCCTTAGGGCTTAGGCCGGGCTAACATGATGCCAAGTTGTGTGCTTTTATCATCAAATGCACAATTTTGCCACCAATCTGCTATGCTATTTAGAGGTATGGTCTATCTATAGCATTCTGTAGACTAAAAAAGTCAGAACTATTCCTTTCCTTAGGTATTCGTATGTTAGATGGTGATGTGACGGACGTGGTTGAAGCTCATTCACTGAGTTTCAAACCAAAACATATCGACATCTACAGTTCAAGCTGGGGACCAGATGATGACGGCAAGACAGTTGATGGACCAGGACCTCTAGCAAAAATTGCTTTTTCAGAAGGAATCGCAAAGGTGAAAAAAATGTGATCTCTCGTTGTGCTTAGATATACGGTATTGGAAATCCATGTACAGCGCTGTATATATAAATTTTCGGTAAACTCCAAGTACTTTTAATAAAATACAAAATAATGGAAACTTTATTCAAAGATTATTATAAAACCCAGCAAATGTCTTTCATATGCCTGTCAGATGTTGGGATCCTAGGTAGCAGCTCTACCTGCAAGTGCCTGAAGCTAACTGCAATCCTTGTTCAGAAGGTCTTATGCATGCTTAAATAAAATAGAAAATTTCAATTTTTCCGAATACATTTTGCAATATTTACCGACCAGATTCAATAAGAGTCCTCAAGACATAAATTCATCAAATTATGCCATCAAAAAATTGAAAATTTTTTTGAGACAATAAATTTTTTTGAGAAAATTTTCTCCAATCAGTCGTGTGACATGTCAGCTTTCTTGATTTCCATTTATGGACCATTTGCATTATAGACCAAATTTTGATCTAAACAAGTCTAGACAAAAATTTCATCACAGCTTGAAAGAGCATCACAAAATTAGTAATATTCCAAAGTTTCGTTGCGAAATGTTGTAAAATGCGGATAATATAGCCTTGCAAAGTTTGCCGTTTTTCAGTCATTTTACTAAATATTACTAATTTTGTGATGCTCTTTCAAACTGTGATGAAATTTTTGTCTAGTGTTGTTTAGATCAAAATTTAGTCTATATGCAAATGTCCATTGAATTTACAAATAATGGGTTTGAGCAAATTAGCGGACACTCAATTTTGACAATATGAAACATAACTCGAAAAAATTTCTTCGGTGCCCGATCGTCTGTCGAAATTTGCAAGCTTCAAGCGAAACGGGCAAGTTTGGACCACGCAGGGCTAACTGCAACTGTTTTTTTGGCTACCTGCAAAAAGCCTAAATATACAGCATGGTCTTTCAAACAAAACATAACAATTTTAATGTATTTACTGACGTTTCGTATGCATCACAACATCTTGCATTTAAATCAGAAAATAAATTTTATTCTTTAAGCCAATCTGCTTTATTTTGGAATTCACCACTTTATATCTGTATCCAATCAGGGTCGTGGTGGTCTTGGTAATATTTTTGTGTGGGCGTCAGGGAATGGTGGTCGCGACCAAGACAACTGTAACTGCGATGGTTATACCAACAGTATTTATACACTATCTATCAGTTCCGCTACAGAACATGGTACATCACCGTGGTATTCTGAATATTGCGCTTCCACATTGGCATCAACCTTCAGTAGTGGCTCGTGGGGAATGAGGAAAATAGTAAGTGATTGTTTTGTTGTGTGGAAACACCATTTAAACCTACAACGAACTGAAAAGTAAACCAACTGACATTCTGCCAATTGGCCCTTTGCATCAGGGATGGGTATGGAGAACAATGGGATTTTCAAAACAATGAAAAGACAATGAAACCTTCCCATCACTGGATCATGATTGGATGGTAGTGATGTTATTCAAAGTGTTTTGTTATGAGATGAAGTTAGCTGGGGATAATTCTTTGATGATAGCTCTGATTTGGTATTGCTCCAGAATTAGGCATTAGGAGTCAAATATAAAATTTTGTTTCAGGTAACAACAGATCTCCACCACAAATGTACACGGGAACATACAGGAACTTCAGCTTCCGCTCCGCTTGCAGCTGGAATATTGGCATTAGCATTGGAAGCCAAGTAAGGCTTATCTACAGCTTAAGGCCCTGAAACGTATGAGAGGCGTATGAAAATTAATGAAATAATTTTCATACACACAAAAATCCTTTGAAATGCCAGCGTATGAGTACCGTACATCTGGCGTACCTCTAGCGTATTCAGCGTGTGCCGAGAGTATGCTTATCGTATAAACCATACGTCCGAATACGCACAAAATTTTTGAGTTTTTATGCCTCGCCGTATGCCAGCGTATGCCACCGTATGCGACCGTGCTTGAAACGTATAAAACCTATGCCTAACGTACCTGTAGCGTATGTCTGCGTATACCTGCGTATGAGTGATATTTTTCATACGCTGGCATACGCTAGTACGATACGCAATATTGTGACAGGGCCTTTACACTTCTAACTCTGTGCTTCACTTTAGAGTTTAGAGTTAAATCGGCTAGCATGAGAGTGAAACGTAAGAGTGAAATCAACTAGCGCGTGTTAGCTAATGCCTACTAGTGGTCCAAAAAGTTATGCCTGAATCTTCATCATAGTAGACTCACTACTTATTTCCATATTGGATTATATTCTAGTCGAAAGTTAACATGGCGTGACATGCAGCATATTGTGATACGAACATCAAAACCTGACAAACTTAAGTCTAATGATTGGGTGACCAACGGCGTCGGGCGAAAGATAAGTCATCGCTTTGGCTATGGTCTACTGGATGCCAAGGCGTTGGTGGATCTTGCATTGAGATGGCAGACAAGCCCTGAGAAACACGACTGCAGCGAGGCCGCGGATACAACGCCAAGGTTAGTAGTATGACCTGGACCTCTAGGGAGAACAATTTAAACTGATAGAGCTATCCAGTATAAATAAAATTAGTTTACGTTTTAGATTAAGATATGGCATTTCGTTCTCTCAACTGATATATTTGTATCTACGGTACTTCGTCGAGTAGATCCCTACTTCATATAAGCTAATTAGTGTTGGACCGCGCACAAACACTTTTAGTATTATGATTTTTTTTTGCTGTGTTGGTGTTGTGTACTCAGGTGAATATGTTTGCGATGTTTCTCTGAGTGTGTATCCCCACCGGGCGAGCTTGAAAAATATGCCCGGCCACGGTGGGAATCGAACCTACGACCTTTGGAACACTAGCCCAATGCTCTGCCGACTGAGCTACGCGGTCAGGTCGGTTCGAGTAAGTGATATTTCGGAACAGAATCTAGTTCCTTCGACACCAATGTAATCTAGTAATATGATTTTTTTGAAATTTTTTCTGTGTTGGTGTTGTGTACTCAGGTGAGCTTAGTATAGTATTTAATAGTAGCAATAACTGAAGGTGTTTTCATGTTTCGTCTAGACCAATTCCACACACGGGAAGTTTGACAGTGGAAAAAGATACCACAGGCTGCGAGGGTACCGAGAACTACATCCGTTACTTGGAACACGTGGAGGTCGTACTTTCACTTTCGTTCACGCGTCGTGGCGACCTCACTATATACATCACCTCGCCCCTGGGAACGAGGTCGACGTTACTGGGCAAACGAAGAATGGACTACTCTTCCAAAGGATTTACGAAATGGGTTTTCATGTCCACGCATACCTGGGAGGAAAATCCAAGGGGAAAATGGAAGTTGGAAATCCAGAATGTTGGTAAGTGGATGCACAGCTCCTATAATATGATGTTTGCGATGTTACTATGAGTGTGCATCCACACCAGACAAGTTGAAAAGTTTGGCTGACCATGGTGGGAATGGAACCCGCGACCTTTGAGATACTAGTCCAATGCTCTACCAACTGAGCTACGAGGTCAAGTCGGTTCGAGTTGGTGATATTTCGCAACTGAGTCTAGTTCCTTCGATATCAATGTATTCTAAGATATGATATTTTTTTGTTTGTGTTTGTGTTTGTGTTTGTGTTTGTGTTTGTGTTTGTGTTTGTGTTTGTGTTTGTGTTTGTGTTACATCGAAATTGAGTGACTAAAACATTTTACAAGACTGGAAGTTTGCAGAACTGGACTCACAATGACATATGTTTCCCAAATGGGCAAAAAACATTTGGGCAAATGTTCGAAAATTTGAAGAACATTTAAATCCCAAAGGTGGAAAAATGCGAATTCAACCAATCACTTTAAATCAGTGTACATTCGGTCATTTTTTGATCGAAATGATGTTTCGCCCAGCACATTCTCTGAACTATCTCTGCAGCTTGATATACCGGTAGCTATGTTTAACTTAGTATGAAGTTTTTATTCAAGAACATGTATTGTGCTACCCCACTTAGTCAGAGATTTGACCATGATGCATCAGCTCAACTCGACAACAAAAAACACCACTAAACGAAGTGCTTTCACACTAAGATGAAACTGACCTATACTCGTTCATTTCGTGTAGGTTCCAGTGCTAACACTGGTACTTTAACCAGCTGGCAAATTCGGTTCCATGGTACCCAAGAATCACCAGGAGTGGGTTATACAAACTGTTCTAGCGAATGCAAAGGAGGCTGCCATGGTCCTACTACCAGAGATTGCGTGCAGTGTGCTAACTACAAGTCCAATGGCGTAAGTTGATACGATAGTCTTAATAATCCATTTTGCAGAATAGGAATGAATAGTTAGAAGTGTCACTCTTCCAAGTTGCTTTGTCCTTACAGACCATTTGCAGAATTACTGGAGGGTAGCATTATATAACCAATTCAAACAAGGTTGTCCTTTGCAGACATTAAACTCTAAACCTTAAACTCTAAGCGCGCGAAGCTTAATGGGAACACAAGTTTCAAGCTTAGTAGTTGAATATTGCAGCTATTTGTGAATGAATTGTTCTCGTAAGGAGATATTTACCATGTCTCTAAGAAATGGGCACTCCTCCTGTTCCTCCTCCTGCTGCTCCTCCTCCTGCTGCTCCTGCTCCTGCTGCTCCTCCTCCTGCTCCTCCTCCTCCTGCTGCTGCTCCTGCTGCTCCTCCTCCTGCTCCTCCTCCTCCTGCTCCTCCTCCTTCTGCTGCTGCTGCTCCTCCT